TTACATTAAGGGGGGAAGGAGGGAAAGTAAAAACCTTCGGCAAAATCTTTTTCAAATTAAAAAGTTGGAAGCTCTGAGTGGATGGATTGAAAACACAAATACCATCAGCAAATTAGGAGACCATGAGAACCAGGAAGCAAAACTGATTATGATTTAAAAAAAGTGAAATTCACAAACAAATAGAAGTTTCTTTTCACCCCTGAAAAGGAAAAGCACTCACAAACAGAGCCAGCTCCCTCCTCTACATTCACATGGCTCTTTTTTTCTTTGTTAATAACAGTACCTTGACCATTTTCGTTTATTTCTTTGTGCCTTTTTTTTTTTATTTAAGACTCCAGATATGTGGCAGAGCCACATTTCCATCTTCTTGTCCAGGAATTTACATAACAAACACAAAACGTTTTCCCACTTCAAACTGCAGGATTCAGGGATGCAAGAAAAATATCTGACACCGCGATACTTACTGCAATAACCACACATCTGCCAGCCTGAGGCAAAAATTAGATAGATATGCCCAAAGAACACCAATGGAAAGGAGTTAATTAAACTTCTAACAACTGCTTGGTGTTAGTTATCTGTTACTCAACCTTCAGTCAAGCGAGCTCTCCTCAAAGCCTTGAGGATACGCGCAGTAAAACCGGCACGCGCAAAGATGTTGCCGACAAAGAACTGCGTTTTTCAGGCAGATAATTTATAACAAGCACCTTAAAAATAGTAATGATCTGATCCTGGCTTTTCCTACGTCGGTTTCTGGACGAGGAGAACTCTGGAGAGTCTTTCTTGGGGAAGATTTGCTGCTGTTGGTGGGGACTGAGGCACCAGCGGCTTCCCCGGCTCACGCCGGTGTAACCTGCGGACACCAGCACAGTTGCTGCCGCAAGAGTCTTTGTCCATCAGCAGGACAAGACAGGAAGAAAACTCCTGGGTTTGATCAGTTTTTCCCTCCTCTATCTATCAGTTGTACATCCCCTGTCTACGGACTCTGCATTTTCGGAGAATAAGGGCTGTGATTTACTAACGAAAGAGATGCTCAACAGTCCAAGATAAAGCAGAGGTTTGCAAAGAAACCCTGCAAATGTCCCAGGCGCTTCTTCTCACCTTCACCCTCAGCAACTCAGCAGCCCAAGGAATTGCCTTCCACATTTCCAAGCAGTGGCAGAGCTTTTCCACCTCTTATTACAATTTTTTTTTGGTGAAGGATGGAGAGGCACAGGAGCACAGACAATTCAGTACTCAGACACTCTCTTTTACTCCTGCAGCAACCTCACTTGTTCTGATTAAAAAGAGGCAATTAAGGCAAAATGAATAGCCATGTGGGAGCAGACCCAAAGTCCTCCAGCTCAGGATGCTGTTTCAGACAGCCAGGAACAGCAGTCAGAGGGTTTAAGCCCAGGCAGCAAGAGAGAGATCTCTGCCCCAGCTCATCCTCCCAGCCTGTGACTGGCGGCTCCCTGAGCGGGACACTGCCTCCAAACACTGCTGCAGTGAGCAGCCGTGCTCAGCCCTCCCTGAATCTGTCAGTCCTTTCTTGAAATAACACCTATTTCTGAGCTGTGCAAAATCCTGGGGAGATGAGCCCCATCACCCAACAGTGAGAAGGCTGAAAAAGCCTTTCCTCAATCTGCTGCCAGGGAAGAGAAGCTGAAGCCCCACGATGCTCTGCCTGACCTGCCTGAGCAGAGGAACCCACTCACCTTGTCCCAGTAGGGCTTCTGGCATTTCCTTGAGAAGGAGCAGCAGCACTGAGCGGTCACGATGCTCACCGGGACAGGAAAAAAATCATGGGGGGACTCAGGCAGCCTGTGTCCAGCTTTAATTGGGATTGAGCCTGATATAATCTGTCAGCCACCTGAGTGCCAGCACTTTTATACCGAAGAGAGATTAAAGGACAGCAAAAACTCCAAAACACAGAACTTGAGCATGTAATGGACTGAAGCACGGTTTATTCACTCCTTACAAGAGAAATCCCAGTGTAACAATTTTTCTTTTGCTGTTCATGCTTTCTCCACATCATTTTATGAGCCATCAACAGCGAGTCTCAAACAAACCAACCAAAAAAGAAAAAAAGAAAAAGCAGAAGTCAAAAATACCCATCTGAAAAAAATTAAATAACAACTGAGAATTACCCCAGAGCCACAAGCTTTGGGAACCCATAGACAAGTGACAGGTTTCTGTCACCCTCAAAGGGCACAAAAGCAAGAGGAGATCATTGCCTTTTCTGGGAAGTTTGGGGGATCCCCTCAACTCAGCATTTTTATCCCAGCTTTAGCTGGGGTTAGCGAAAGCTGTGCTACCACAGCAAGAATTGGTTTTATCTTAACAGGTTATTTTGTCACAAATTGGAACTGCGATTGCAAAGCCTTCCCAGCCAAGCAGCAGAGGCAGGGAGGTTTGCCCTGATGTTTATCAGCTTTTAGGGGAAGGTGTTCAGAGCTACGAGTTGAAGTGAACTAGGTAAGAATGACAGCTCCGCAGCACTGCTGCAAACTCAGCTCCTTAACCCACGGACAGCTCTCCTTGCAAATGTTACAATCACAGCTACTCCCAGGAATGGTTGGTTTTTTCTTTTTAATAAGAGAAATGTTTTATCCTGAATCTCTCTCAAAAAAAAAAAAAACAGTGGTGAAATATTTCCTTCAATTTCAAACATCCAAACAAAACCTTTTGTAATTTCTGCATCAAACTTCTTCTCTTAACTTTTGTTTACAAAAATAGCACCAATAATTTGGTTTTTCGCTTCAGTTTGGAACAAAAATCAGTGGCAGACCAGCTGATTTTCCTTCAGGTTGGAAGAACATTTTTAGTATTCTTGAGAAATCCGCAATTTCTTCAAACATCTTTTACCTTTTCTCACTTAAAAACATGGAAAGTAACTGAGCCCTGTGTTAGCTTTTCCACTGAACCAGTTCTCATTTTTCACCGCGAAAAGCTCCTACCTCTGCTGCACTTCCTAGCTCCAGCACAGTCCCTTTCCTGCATGGATTGCATAACACTTACAGGGAAACTGAGGCACAGAGACTCCCGGGATGTGCTAAATGCATCCATGAGAGAGCCAGAAAGCCCAGATGACAGTTCTGCCCAATAAACCTGGTGGAATTTATACCTCTCCCTTTCTTTTTTTTTTTTTTTTTTTTGTCATTGCTTACTTTAGAATACTTCTAAAACTTTCTAATTCACCGCAACGGTATTAAAACTTTTACAGCATTCAGAGAATTTCTAAATTAATTGAAGCTGTAGTTTGGTCCCTGCTCAGCAGTGCTGGCTAGAAAATAAGCCCTTGGACTGCTTTTTTGGGGGGTTCTTTTCACGCTTTAAGAGCAAGGTGAGTATTGGTGAAATGCAGTTCTCCTTTTCCACGCTGACCGAGCTCGCAGCTGGCAAGGGGCAACATCAGGAGAAAATCGTAGTAAATCAGGAGTAAATCCAAATAAAATATGATAAACTAAATAGGGTAGAGAGCAGAAGTAAAAAAAAAAAAAAAAAAACAACAACAAAAAAAAACTTGTCTGCATTTGATATCTTGCAGATTCTCCAGCGGCACAAGTTGCCGAATCGGGGGCAGCTGCAATCACTGTTTTCCCCACTAAAATACACACCTTTAAAGCCAGAAATTGCAGTTTTCCGGGTCCTGGGAAGGAAATATTTCTAAGCCATGTCCCAGCGGCGGTCGATCCGGCTCTCGGGGGAGCAGAGGAGCCGCTCCGGCAGCCGCGCACCGCTCGCTCCGCTCCGGCCGCGCTCCCGGAGGATGCTCCCCGCCGGGAACGCATCCGGCCGGGCCGAGCCCGGGCATCCCACGGGCGCTTCTGCAAGGAGCGGCTGCTTTTGGGAAGGCTTCCCGCTGCCCCAGCTCGGTTTCCTTCGGAATACCGAGAAAACCACGTCGGATCCACGGGGAAAAGAGGGTCGGAGGCGGCTCCCGCGGAGAAAAAAAGCCACAGAAACCAAACCAATAAAAAAATCGAAAAGCGAACGAAAATTGCAGTTGGCGTTTTCGTTCGCTTCTCGTTTCGTTTTGTTGTTTTTTTCCCCGTTCTTCCCCGGGAAGCTCCCTCGGAAGTGAGCCCGTGTCCGCAGCCGCGGCCAGCCCGGACCCCCACGGAACTCCTGGGGCCGGGGATGTAATTATTTTAACAGAGAGCGGCTAAAGGGGGGTTACTGACCCTGCACAGCCCTTGCACATCCCCCTCAGCCTTTCTGACAGCGCTGCCCTTGGAAAACAACACGCGGCGCTTGGAAAACGCCGCGCAAGCCGGGGCCCATCCCGCTACCCACGGCCGCTGGGCTGCTGGCTCACGGCTACCCGAGCTGCCGAGCTCGGACTGCTCAGGACGGGCAGCTCCGAGACCCGTCTGTCCCCTCCCTGCCCGGATCGGGGAGAACCGGGGCTCGGGGAGCGGCAATCTGCGGCTGCACCTGGGAGCCGCGCACGCACCCTCGGGCTGTTTGCGAGCCCCGGCGCTCTGGGCAGGGCATCGGACAATGGTCCGGACCTCATCCAGATCCCTGAGCAGCCTCCCGGTGTCCCGCTAACCACGGCGCCGGTGCCCGCTCCGACGGGCCGGACGGACGGACGGGGCGGATGGATGGATGGGAGGGAGGGATGGATAGACGGATGGCTGCTCAGCGCCTACCGCGCCTCGCCCCGTCCAGCCAAGCGCCGTTCTCAGCCCAACCCGCCAAGGAATGGACGAGGGGGCCGAGCCCGCGGGCCCGATGCTGCTCGCTTCTGCTCCCCGGGATGTTCTCCGGTTCCCCGCAGGGTGCAGGAGCCACGGCACCGGACCCGACGGGCGCGGCGGTGGAGGGCAGGTCGCCCCTTTGCTGGGACGCGGCTGGGGGAAACCAAAGGTTTTCACACTCAGGCGGGTGCCGACCCCGCCGGGGCTCGGGGAGCGGGGGAAACCGGGCTAAGCACCAGCGCAGCCCCCTCGGAGCCGGCACCGCCCGCCGCGGCTGCCCCGGCGAGAGGTGGAAGGGGAGGATGCCCCCGCACTTACTGTCCTGCTGCGGGGTGTCGCTGCCGCTGGTCAGCCCGGGGGACTCCAACAAGCTCCGGCCGGGCTCGCCGCCGCCTTCCTCCGCCTGGGCGGCCACCATGTCGCCCGCCTCCTCCAGGTCCAGCAGGTGACTCACGGAGAAGTTCTTCTTGGCTTGTAAATTGTCCAGGCCGGCGGGGCCGTCGAGCCGGGCGGGCAGCAGGGCCTGCCTCTCCATGGCGTGGGCATAGCTGGACGCCATGGTGCCGAGCGGGGCTTTTCTGCCCTCGCCCCCCGCGGGCGCCCACCGGGGCGAACGGGACGGGACCCGACGGCGGCGGGTAGGGAAGCCCGAAGGGGAGCGGGCAGGGCCGGGCTTAAAACATGCCGGAGGGGAGAGGCGGCGGCCGGCTCGGGGCGCCGGGGCGGCGGCGCGGGGAGCTGCCGCCGGCCGAGAGGCGCAGGGCGGCTGTGGGGCCGCTGGGGCGGGTGCGCCCCGTCCCTCCGCCCCCGCTGCCGCCGGCTCCGCTCCCTCCGCCCCTGCGCTGCCCTCCCCTCCCCTCCGCCCCGCACTTCAAACGGCGGGGGCGGCTCCGGGCACCCGGGGGAGGGCGGCCCGCGGGGCCCCGCCGGGACGTGGCACCGGGCCGGGGGTGGCAGCGGCGGGCCCGCGGCTGAGGCCAAGGGGGGTGCTGGGCAGGCCCCCCTTGCCGGCCGGCGCTGCACCTGGAGAGGAGGGTGGAGAGGAATAGCGAAAATGAGAAATGCAGATGAAAAGGTGAGCGAGGGTAATGGAAGAGAAAGTGCGAACAGGAGAGAGGGAAGGAAGAGGAAAAACAGCGCAAAAGGAAGGAAAAGTGCAGCAGAGAACTGAGAGAAACAGACCAATAGGAGAGTAAAGTGAAAAGAACAGAAGGGAAGGGGAAAAAGAAACAAAAAAAAGCCCGAGGACACAGTCGGAGCTGCCGAGGCCGGCAAGCAGAGGTCCCCGCAGGCGGTGCCGGCCCTGTGGCCGGGGACAGGCGGCGGCCGTGAGGGGCCGGAGCCGCGGGCAGCAAAGGCCGCTGCTCCCGGGGGCTGCAGCCGCGGCTCCGAGCTGCCACAGCCGGCCCAGAATTTCCATCCCCCCTGATCTGGGGAAAGAACATTTGATGCCATCAAAGGGCTCCAGATTGAAAACAGATGTGCTTCGCCGAGTCTCTCCATGCATTTAATTAAGGCACAGGCATGGAGGAGACATTTTCATCATTAGTTTGCTTTCAGGCCCCCCCCTCTGGTCCCAGTTTACCCTTTGCAGTCTCAAAGACCCAAATGAGCAGGGCAGGGCTGCAGAGCTCTGCTGTCCCCAGTTTGGGGGGTAGGCAAAGCTGGTGGGTTCTGGGTGGAAAAGCCGAAAAGAAAACAAACTTTGGGGCAAGTCGTGCATGTGCACAGAAGCATGTGGGTGTACACACACCGAAAATGCTGTGGGTGCATCTGTGTATGCAGCACGGAGTGACTTCTGCATCTGAAGGAGGGTTTGTGTGATGTCCTCTGGTACATGTCCACGTGTTGGATGGGGAAGGAGCTGTGCCTCCACATGGGTGTGCAAAGCTGTATCTGGCTGGCTTTTGTATTCTGGCATCTTGTACCCTGGCTCTGCAGGTTCAGGAGAGGCAAGGTGGGTGATCACCTGTACATACCCTGATCATGAAATGCCCTTTTCTCTGCCTTTCCCAGATATCTGCTTGCTGCCTCCTTTCTTGGTGAGCTGGGCTTTACCCTCTTTCCCCCTGATCTGCTTCAAATGGATGTTGCAGCTGGCTGTCCTGAGTGGGTGCTGCAGAGGCCCAGCCATAAACATCCCTTTCCACGGGATGTTTATGGGGGTCTGCTCTTAGCCCTGGAGGTGTCAGCAGGAGCCACAGAAACCAGCCCAAGAGGTCTCTGTGCCACCTTCAGCAATGCCCTCACTGACATCCCTGCTGAGATCTCCCCATGCCTAAGTGCATCCTTCAGACCAAGCTCCCTGCCAGCCCTGGGGTTGGGAATGCAGCCTGAATTTCCCCTGGAAAGAGGAAGTACCCAGCTCCAAAACTGAGGCTTCATCCTGAAGTGAGTCCTGGCTGCTCCCCTCACATGCAGCACTCACAGGCTGAATTCCAATACAGGGTGCCTGATTCACATTCTGAACGTGACCTGAACCCCTCCTACAACACAATTTTCTGGATTTCTGTCACTGGGTGGGAGGGACAAGCTGAATCCAAGGGGAACTCTGTCACCTCTGTCTGTCCCAGAAGGAAGGAGGCTGGGAGCAAAGCCTGCACAGAGCACTACAGGGCTGCAGTTCACCTCTCAATTATCTGTTATGGCCAGACAGGCCCTATGCCAAGGCACACCTAGGATGGGGAAATGAGTGCAGCAGGAACCTCCTGGGCTCTGACAGGGACAGTGCCTGTGCTGCCAGCTCAGTTTATGACGCATCAGACCCCAAGTAGAGGTGACAGGATACTCCAGTTCTCACAATCCTGAGGCTGGGAAGGACTGCCATGCCACAGATGACCCATGGCAGCAGGGCCAGGCACCCTTTTAACATCCCACAGGCCATCAAGAAGTTGATCAGACATTTATTTCCTCCCTCACCACTGCTCTGGTGTCAAGCTGAGCAAGTAGCTCCCCATCCTCCCATCCCACTTTTCCTCTCCAGTGTGCACCTGCCCCGAGGCTGCTTACAGCCCCATTCCTCCCTTTCCCAGCTGTCCAGCAAATGGTTGCCTTCTGCTCACACTCCCAGCAGGGCAGGAGCAACTGAGCCACTCCTAGCAAGGGAGCAGAAGAAAAAGCCCAAAAGTCCTGAAACCGCCAGAAGTCTGCCTGGTGAAGTGCCCACAGCTGAAAGGCTCAGCCTCACACCACAGCCAGACCCAGTTTTGCCCTTCCTGCTCCCACAAGTGGATATCATTTTGAAGGACATCAGTGAGACTCACCAGCTGGAGCCTTGCCTCAAAACCTACCTCCCCTCTGCTGTGATCATGTCCAACACTGGGAGAAAGTGAAGCAAAAACCACAAACTCCCCCATTTTCCCTTCCCTAGCTGCATTTCAAGAAGGGGAACCCCAAATATATGCATCTCTGCAGATGACCAGCACGTTTTGCTTCTGCTTTCTCAATGAAAATCACAAACACCCCACAGTGCCAGTGAGAAATCCCCTAACTGGAGTGTAATTTTGATTTTTGAAATTTCCCATGAAGTCCAGCACTGGCAGCTCCTGTGGTTCCCAGCTCCAAGCATGTTCTAAACCCTCAGAAACATTCCCTTCACATCTGTCTGAACAGCAGCTTTGGAGCTCCACAGTTTTGGTGCCACTTTTCAGGTACAACAAACAGGACCTGAGGAGCCTCCCAAGAGTCTTGGAACCAACAAGAAACAGCCAGAGCAGATGAGCAGCTGTAAAATCCCCAGGGCAGCTCACACCCCTTGGGGCTGGCACTAGTGGGAAGCAGGAGGGTGCAAAGCAGCAAGAAAGCCAAGCCTTCCTCTGCCAGCACAGATTGCCCCCTTCTTTCATGTGTCCTAAATAGCTTTTCTTCCACCTGGGTATGAATAAAAGAAACCAGGCAGAAGAACCTGTATGTCCTTAGCTGGATGATGGTATCATGGCATTCAGATGAAGAAGCATTTTGCTCAGTGAGGGAAAGTCCTTTGGGTCTCCCCTACTTCATTTTCAGTGTGTGAAGTCTTAGAGCCCTTTTTTGATCTGCCAAATGTGTTTCATCCTAGAAATTAAATAAGAAAATAATGCAGGGGGGCAGTGAGGAGCAGGAGCTGACAGCCAGAACAAGCTTGTGTCTGTAGGAAACCTGCCCAGAATGCACACACCATCTATTGCTGCTCCTTGCAGGACACTCAGCTGTTTGCAGACATGCTGAATGCCCTCCAGCTTTGCTCTCTTCAGGGCCTGGATGGGGTGCAAGCAGTTTAGATTGGTGATTGAGAGGGCAGAGGGCACAAATGATGTCCACTCCTCTCCTAGGCCCAGCAGCTTTGGAGAGGGAGTGCTCCAACACAGCCCTTTGCACTCCAAAACATCAGGGCTCCTTAGGGGAAAGCTGGTGAGAGGCAGGGATTCAGAGCATCTCTCAGCCTGCATCCCCAGTGTCCCATGCCCTGCCCAGCCCACTGAGATCCCCACTGCTGGACTCCTCGATGCTGCAGTGCTGTGGAGCCAAACCAGAACTCTTTCCCCCTGAAAAGCTGTCCTCCAGCCATCCCATCGTGCTGGTTCCCTTCCATGCCTGGCCTCAAGCCCTTCTGCACTTGCTGCAGTCAGGGCTGGGTGAGATCTGTGTGGAGCTGGGGACAGGGACACTTCTGTGTGCATCTCACATCCCTTTACAGGTGTGGGGGGGATTTTGGGGGTGTGTGTTCATATTGGGGTCTGCAGCCAGACCTGTGCCCCACAAACTCCTGCTACACACTTGGACCAAGCCTCCCTCTTTTCTTTCCTCCCCACACAGAGGTGTGTTATTACATCTGTGGGGATCAGGTAGTCTACAGTCCTTCCAAGCTGTAAACTCAACATCAGGGTTTCCTTTAATCCCAAACATCTTGATGTCATCTGGAAATGCCATGAGCAGTTTATAATTAGGGTTTAGCATGCAGATTAATACCAGCAGCTCCAGGGTGAACAGACCATCAGAGTCTAATCAAAGCTTAAATGGGGCAGCAGTTTAGTACTGAGATTTATTATTCCTCTGCACAATATTTTGAACCAGAGGCTGAGTTCACAGCACACACAATCATTCCTGGAAGTGCTATCACATCTCCAGTCAGAGCAAGGTGCCTTGTTACTGGTTCATGGGTGTGAGAAAGACTTGGCTCTGGGAACTTATTTAGGAATATCCCAGCACTGACACTGTACAAGATTTAAAACCTGGGGCAGGATAACACTTGCACACGTGCTCCAGCCCATGTGGATGCTGGGGCAAAGCCGTGCACTGACATTTTTTTTTGCTGTGCACCAGGTGTAATAAGGGAGGTGTTCCAGGATAGCAGCTGAGGGGAGTTTTTGCTATCTCCCCTGGCCGTGTGTGGGGGAGGAAGGATGGAAAGCTTTGTGGGGATGGAGCCACCTCACAGCAACAGAACCTTCAGGGGACCTGGCACTTTGTAGCAGGCTCAGCTGAGGGCTGGGGAGGGAGTTCTATGCCCAATGCAGCCAGGGACAACCCCTCCTGAATGGTATTTCTGCCAAGCCCCCTCTGGATGGCTCCTGGGAGTACCCCCAAGTCTCAGAGGTTTGATTTTCACAGTAGGGGCAGCTGGGCTGGTTGTGCAGCACCTGAGTTGGAGTTTTCACTACCAGGGCACCAACCTGCCTTGCCCAGACCTCCTCTGACCCAGTCTGGGCTGGAGCCTTTCCCTTGCCTTGTCATTTATAAAACACAAGTGGAGGAGGGAGCTGAGAGAGTGGAAATTTGTTTATCAGTTTATCTGCACTAGTCCCAGATTTTAGATTCCAAGGCAGAGCTGCCACAGCTGTCACCTAGCTTTCAACAGGGATGACAGGCACATTCACCAGCTGCCAATGGCAAGAACTGCTTTTCTGGTTCCTTTTCCCATCATCTTTCCACCAAGTGGGAGAGGGGCTGTGAGGAGTGTCCTGATCCCAGGCTGGCTGGTTGTGGATCTGAACTAGAGCTCAGCTCTTCCCTCCCTTGGCTTTGCTCTTGCCAGGGATGCCATGGGGCTGGCAGCCCTGGGCTGGAGGGGGCAGATGTCACACCCTGTGGCCTCTCAAGACAATCCATGGCCAGGGTTCCACCAGGAAACCACACAAGTATCAGCACAAACACCTCGTCACCACAGTTTGGTTGCAGTGGCTGTGAGCTGTGTGAGCACAGGACACGGTCCTGCAGTGGATGATGCCCGTGTTTATTGCTCCAGCACCTTGGAGGACTTCAGTGGATTTACCTGCCTGGTAAGAAACCAGGCTGTGGCACTTCCAGGGTTCCTATTCCCCTGTGACAGCGACCTGGTGGCACTGAGACAGCCACCAGGATCTGCAGCCACTCCCCCCTGCCCCAGGGCAGCTAAGCAGGGCTGGCCAAGCTAAAAGAGGGCTAAGCTGCTGTTCCCAAGGGCTCAGACTTGAGCTGGCTCCAGAGCTGGCTGTGTAAGGAGCCCTGGGTTTGGATAAGCCAGCCGTTTAACCGGGGTTTTATTACCAGGCAGGGGAACAAAAGCACTCAGAGGTCACCCGGGAACTTTAATCAGCACCGAGGGTCATTGGATAGCAGGATAGGAGGGAGGAGGGCAGGGCCCAGGGCACACAAATAAATAAATAGATGTATTGAAACCACCTCCTTCCTCCAAGTGATTCTCTCTCTCCCCTTCTCCATGTACACACTCTGCTCCTTACAATCAGACCTTCAAATGGCCCTAATTTCCCCAGCAGAAAGTCCAAGATCTCCTGCAAATTGAACTAAGACTTTTATCCACAAGGTTTGGTTGGGTTTTTTATTTTAAATCCCTTGCTGCTGGAGATGAAAGTTCAGTCTGCTGGACTGCTCTTGGGTTGGGTATCAGATATCCCTAACCCCGGAGAGAGAAAATGTCCCACCAGCTTCTCTCCCCTGCAGGAAAGGAAAAAAAAACCCCACCACCTCCCATAATCAGAGTCTGGGCAGACAAATTGGCACCACTCTTTTCTCCCTCCACCCCCCTTTCTGGAAGAGGACTAACCCTTCGGAGCACAGTCACAACTCACAAATATTTGTGGGTATTATATTGCAAGAGGGGAAAAAAACCCAAAGGAAGGTAACTGTTAAAAGCTTAGTCCCTCTCCCATGGAAAGCAGCTTTATGCACGTCCATAAATCTCCTTTGTAAGTGGCCATTAAAATTGCGTCTTGTTTAATTTTTTTTTAAATCTCGTTTAAACACTTTTTCTCATCTTGCAAACGAATGATGTCATTGGCAGGCCCAGTAATGAACTGAAAAAAAAAAAAAAAAATCAACTTTCTAATGTTTTGGGGGCTCTTTCTAAATGCAAACCCTTCAAAACCAGTTTGCTAATCCAGCCAAATACTTAAGCACGTGCTTAACAACCGACTTGTGTTTAAGTGCCTTGCTCCCAGATCTGTCCACACCCATCTCTGGACACAAATGATGTGCCTGAAGGGAGGAGGGGGTTTAAACTGTGGCAGGGTGAGAGTCCCTGGCTGCTGAAGTGTTGGGCTGCTCCTTGCAGGGGGAACAAACAGGACAGAGAGCCCACAGCATCTGCACAGGACAAGGTCCTCACTTTGGCTGAAAGGCTCCTTGCTGTCTACTTCTGTTGTTTGGGTTTGGTGTGTGGCTGAAGGTTTCAGGTTTATTTTTAAATTTTTAAAAATTTTAAAATTTATTTTATTTTTTCAACTTTTTTGGAAGCTGTTTTAACGAAGTGGGAGCAAAACCAAATAGCAGGCTGAGCAAACGGGGAAAAATAAATGTGAAACTTGCAAATGAATAATTGGTGTGGTTTTAATTAAAAAGTGGTTAACTGTTTCGGGGTGAAGAGCATGGGGTTGGGTTTACACCATCTGAACCCTGGAAAGAGCACGTTAAGCTGTTCACCATACTGTGGGTTAAGAAAATGGGAAATAAATACATCCCAGCCCCTTGGAAAACTAAACCATCTTTAGAGCTCAGCTGTAAACTTTCTTCAGCAATTTATTAGAGTTCCAGAAAACACTTGTTGAGTAGCCTCGGCCTGTAATAAATATCAGCCCTTGTTTGTTTGTTTTTGTAATGGGAACAAAACCACATCTTTTTCTTTCTCAAGTGGATAATTTAATTACATGGCAAGAAACACATTCATTGTCCAAAATACCCAGAGAAGATTGCCCTGAAAGTCACAGTTCTGCGGTGAGAGGAGGAGAGCAGAGCCAGCTGATACCAGAACTGGATTCAGGGAAGGTTTCTGTGGTGGCACATCCACTTTTGCTGGAGCTGGGGTTTGCAGTGACACTGGGGTTGTCACTACAAACAGGAGACAGGCACCTCTGGGCAAGGCACTTCTTACCCTGCATGGGGCACCAGAAGGGAAAGGCAGAGGGAACCAAAGGGAATGAGGGGCAGGGCAGGGAAGGGACCTGTCTGGGCCACACAGAGGGTCTGAGGTGGCAGTGGGGGAGAACTGATCCATCTGTTCTCATGCACTTCTTCAAGCCTAGCTCTGGTCTGAAAATATCCACGTTTTCTTGTAGATGCTGAAATACTTGAACATTTCTTGCTCTGCAGGTTGTCACCCCTTCCGTGGGGACTTGGCCTGGCCTTGGTGGTAGGAGGTAGAGAGGGGTCCCTAGAATGTCTGGAGGTGACATCCTGTGAGAACAGGGAGTGCTTGGGGCCATCCATCCCCTTCTGTGCCCCCATTGCTGGGAGCCTGCCTTGCAGAAAGTGAAGCAGGAGTGATCCCTTGAGATCAGTCCTTGATGGGTTTGGTTCACTCATTCCCTGCAGGCAGCTTTGGGTTTAACCCTAGAAAGTCTGAAATAGCTGAGGGGGGGCACTCTCCAGGTAAACAACTACCCAGTGCTCTTTCCCAGGGA